ATAGTTTTAATTGATTTTTTTTTTTTTTTTTTTTAGAGAAAGAGGAAAGGAGAGGGAGAGAGAGATAGAAACATCTATGAAAGAAAAACATCTGTTGGCCGCCTCCTGCCCTCCTCCCACTGGGGACCAAACTGGAGACCTCTTGGTACATGGGTTGACCTTCAACCACTGAGCCACACTGGCTGGGCTTTTGGCTATTTTTCCCCTAAGAGGAGCCCAAGGATCAGAAAAGTAGCCTGGAATGTACCTCTCTCTCTCTCCTTAGAAAACAGGGAAGGGAGAGGAAAAGGAAGTTGCCGTTTGAAATTTAGAAAGACACAATGATGCTAAAGAGTGGCAGACTCCGCAAGCCAGGTGAGCCAAGAGTTTCTAGCTATGTGGTGGGCTCCTCTCCACCAGTCAGCAACCCCTCCATCTTCTGCTTCCCAAGGAAAGCTGCTTTGTGAGAGCACACAGGCCTTGGATAACAATAATTCGCATTTTCAGGGTCTGCTGAGTGCCAGACGTGCTACATATGATCCTTACACATGGCTTCGTGTTGCCCATCGCCAGCCCCACCTATGAGGTTATAGGTCACAGCACTGAGAACAAGGGCTCTGGGACTGGATTGCCCATGACCAGAGCATGTTTAGTCAGCCTGTGAACCGGAAACCAAAAGGATTTTAAAAATTTGCTAAGTGGAGGAATTACTGCACCTCAGGTTGCAGCCACAAGAGGGCAGCAGGTCCTCAAGCACCGGGGCAGGTGGCCCCGTGGCCTGGAAAGAAGACCTGAAGGCTCTCTCCTCAGAACCCCCACACCTCCCCCAGCTCCTTGGAGTTTTCTTGTAAATCACAAACTCACTTCTTTAGCCAGGCTGGGGTGAGACCAGAGAGCAGTTCTGCAAATTAAGTCTAGTATCAGAAAAATAAAAGACCAGGACTAAAACAAAATTGGATTCTAAGAAAGTAAATATTTTATGAAAATTGAAAATATATCCCTGTCCTAGTTTAAGTTGCCTACAGGCAGGCTGAAAGATGATTTTAAAAGCTCATTTGTCAGGCTTCTGTGTTAGAACAGCATTTCCTAGAGTTCCTTGAAAAGTTTCAGTTCATTTTGCTCATGTTTAATAAGCCCTTACTCAGGAGAGACTTGGTTCCGGAAGGTTCCAGAAAGCTCAGCCAAGCCATACACTAAATTTTGTTTTTTGTGGTTTTTTTTTCTGGAGAAGATGAAATAACCAGATTATCATGTGTCTACTGAATGAAGAGCACCAGCCTGGGCCCCTTGAGGGTATGAAAGGAAGGAGAGGAAACTCAGTGAGGGTGGCAAGGAGGGCTGGGTGCTGGCCTGGCTTATCCTACCATGACCAGGTTGGGTGGGCCCTTCACCTCTCTGAACCCCATTCCCTCCTCTATCAACTATCAGGCTCCTCAGAGCTCTAATCAGCAATAATCACATTTCAGATCATGCAATGGCCCAAAGATTCCAGATGACCTGTCCAAGGGCCTTTTCAGATATATAAACCTTGATCCCTTGAGAAGACAGTTCTCATTTGTAAGTTACAAACTTGCAAAAGACCTAGAACACCCACAGAACAAAGACTTAAGGGTATGATCTTTATATAGGAAGATGTGTTAGTTACTCACCAGCAAGAGAGCTGGAGCTTCAGTTTGGTTTTGCCTCTCCCCAGGGCCATGAAGGGGTGGCAATGAGGATTAAGCTGCTCACTGCCTTACTCCTCCAGCCTCATTTCTGGACCTCTGCCACATTGCCAGTTGTTTCCAAAACACACCACGTCCTTCCTTACCTCTCCGCTTTCGCATACACTGTTCCCTCTGCCTGGAATTCTTTCCCCTGCCTTGTCCTTCTAGCAGGCTTTTACTCATCCTTCAAAACCCCACTCAAATGACACTGTTTGGTGAAGTCTTCCCTGATTCCCCAGAGGCTCCCTAGAAAGTTGCTCATCCATCATCCGTGTTCCCAGAGCAGCTGGTATACAAAACTTATCCCACTGTAGAGTAATTGTTTGTTTTCATGTCTGCCTCTCCTCCCAGACCTGAGACTTCCTAAAGGGCAGGGGCTGATGATTTATTTCTGTGTCCCCAGCCCTGGTCCAGTGCCTGGCACGTGGTGGGTACTCAGTCACAGCCAGCTGAACAGAAACCGATTCCCTTTTCTGTAACCAGCAGGTGTTTTGCAAGGTGGTTGACCAGGATCACTGAACAAAAGAAAATACTTTCTGGAGGGAGCCCTGGGGCTCTTGCCTGGTACCAGGAGCCAAATGCGGATACCTGGTTGCTAACGTTCAGTGTTTGCGCATTGGAGGCCACACATCATTCTCGCTGGACACCATTTGCGTAGAATCTATTTTAATTACTCTTCCGTAAGGAGAAACTTTCTGATAGTATGATTAAGCTCTGGGATGTGAATTTAAGGGAGTGGTGGGTGCTCCATGTTAAAAGATCTTCATAATCTATGGTATTTTTTGGAAAAGACTGGAGTGAGTAGACTAAATATGAAGAGGCCTCTGATTTCAAGTATATGTTATAGAACTCAGCTCTGGGCACCAGACATGGGGTGGGGGCTACTTTGGCAGCTTTAGGTGGCCCAGCCATGCGGGTGCTGTGGTTGGATACATAGGTGCCACTTCTCTGCACAGCTCCTCACAGCTTTGCCTCATTTGCAAACATCTGAGGGATCAGTAAATATTAGTACATATGTGTTGGCAGTAAATAGACTTTGCAAGAGCTGCCAACACCCGCTGGTGCTTGTGCTTCCCTCCAGCTCCGAGTCTACTCTCTGTCTCCTGTCCCCAGGGCTCTTGGTGTGGACGTGGGGAGAGCCAGCTATGCTATATGGAAAGAGGGGTAGGAAACAAAGGAAACAGTGGCAGGTAACCTTCAAGGGGAAAGCCAGTAGGGGTGGCAGTTGATTCTGTTCTGTGCAGGGGGTTTCCTTGCAAGGCATTCTTGGGGATGGAATGTCTTGCTCTGCACTTTAGTCAAAAACAATCATGGGTTTAAGGAGAGAGGGGGAGATGGTACATTAATGGGAAAGAAATGATAGCAGAGACTGGGAAAGGGTTACCACCCACTAATTAAAATAGACAAAAGTTCAGCATTACAGTCATCAGAACCATGAATTTATATTGTACATTTTCAAGTTTAGTACAGTACCTTTCCTTTGTATGTTAAATAGCTTCACTGTTTTATTTTTTAAAAATTTGTGGTGATAAAATGTATATAACATAACACCAGTTAAACCAATTTTAAGTACAGTTCTGTGGCATTAAGTACATTCACATTGCTGTGTGACCATCACCACCATCCATTTCCAGAACTTTTTCACCATCCCCAACTGAAACTCTGTACCCATTAAACAACAACTACCCATTTCCTCCTCTCCCCAGCTCTGGCAACCGCCATTCTACTTTCTGTATGAATTTGACTACTTTAGGAAACTCACATAAAAAGAATCACACGATATTTGTCTTTCTGTGGCTGGTTTATTTCACTTAACATGATGTCCCTTTGAGGTTCATCTAGGTCGTAGCACTGCCTTACTGTTGTTTAATTATTTTCATAAGTGTGTTCTGCAAAATCTTATTTCTTGATGAAGTAGGTGTCATCATCTCTAGGCTATAGTTGGAGAAACCAAGTTGAAAAGAAGACAAGTGCATCAGATACAATTGGCTGCTTAATCCAAATTTATTCTCCCCATAGTCCCTCCCTCCCATTGTCTTTCTTTTGGCAGAGCCCCAGTTTTGTTCTTGATTCACTGGCAGGCTATGCACACCGGGGAGTGGCTACCCTTAGCCCTAGGAGTCTGTCTCGATTAGTTTGAATCAACCATAGTAATTTCAGTTTCTTTGCCAATGACTGGTTCAGATCAGCAGACAATACACTTTTGGCCTAGAAGGCATGAGAGAAGGCTGATGCAAGGCTTCCAAAGAGGGTTTCTTTGCTCCTACAAATAGACACAAGAAGCAGCTGGCTATTTCCTGCTTTTCAATGTGGTGGCTACGTGTATAGGTGATGCCTGGAGCTCAGCAGCCACCTGGCCACCCTGAGAGGAATTAGCCAAACAATCCAAACAATACACTGAAGATGGCAGAGGAGAGAGATGGAAGGATTCCTGATCCTTTATTACATGAATGAGCTGATGAATTAACCAACTCCGGAACACCCACTGTTAGTCTTGCTATTTATGTGAGACCATAAATTTCCTCATTCTTTAAAACACTTTTGAATTTTCTGTATTTGCAGCCAAAAGCATACTGAAACACACATTTAAGAATTAAAGCTAAACAGGAACCAATGTGGAGGACCCAAGACCCACACCTTTTTCCACTGGATGATGGTAACGACGTGGAAACCCTATTACTCTCTTTGTTATGAGATCTCCCAACCTACTGCGTTATTTCTGAACTGTTGGCTCTGGGAGTTATTTTCTAGGAAAAGGACACGTGGAAAACTGAGTTTGCTTTTTAGGAGAAAAGGAGGGGGGATGGAGAAAACGAAGAGAGACCTATCTCACAGAGGGACAATTGCCTACGGAGTCACAATTGGAAGGATGGTGAAACATGCCAGTTGGGAATGGCCCTTTGAAACATGACAGTCAGGTACGGTGAAAGGGAATGACAGAAAAAAGCCAGCCGGTGTAGCTGTAAGAGCCAGGGAGCTCTCCCTCAATGGGAAACCCAGCCAATCTCAGAGAGGTGGTGTGATCCTTCATTCATATAATAAAGGATCCAGACAAGGGCATGATATGAAGATGACCAGAAAAAAGGCTTTGGAATTCTGTAATTACAGAATGCTGATAGAGAACTACCATGATTATAATTACACACTAAGCAAGTACAAACGAATTCTCTTTTTTGCTTAAGCTAGTTTACATTGAGTTTCTGCCACTTGCAACTAAAGGATCTTGACTAATAAATCTTCTAGTCTCTAGGTACTATCTACTCTTGCAAATCAGTTACTCAATTTACTAAAAGAGTAATTTTTCCTGTGGTCTTCATGGAAGAAGTGTGCAGAAAGGTCATGAAGAGGAAAGAGGAGTCAGAATTAGGGCAAGAGCCTAAAAAGAGCCCCTTTTCGTTTTCTTCAATCCCTGAATCCACAGGTAATGGCATGCCTTACTGCCTCGGGTAAGCCATTTAATTGTTCTTAGGGTTGAGTTCTGGCAACTGATCTGCTGAGTGACCTTGGACAAGCCATTGTACCTCACTGGGTTCTATTTCTTTTCTTGCAGGGTGGTGTGGAGGGAGCTATTTCTTTATCAGCGCAATGAGAGAATAGGGCTAGATATGATGTTTATTTAATAAACATTATTAATAAAAGCTGTGTGCTAAGTGTTATGTTAGGTGTTTTCCACATGTTACTCATCTGATCCCCACCATGTCCCTATGCAGCAGGTTTTACTAGCCACTTTATGGTCCTTTCCCGCACTAACATTCTATTGATGCTTGTTGAGCTCCCTCTCTTGTGCCTCTCATACACTCTGAGGGCCCATGTCACATGTGGCAAGTTCCTTGTTTTTAAGAGCCTTATGTTCAGATTGGAAAAATAAAACTATTCCATTGGAAAGCAACACACATTGATTATCTCTCAGTGTCTGTGGGGTCAGGAGTCTAGACTCAGTTTAGCTGGGCCATCTGCAGGGTCTCACAATCCTGCAATCAAGGTGTGGACTGGGCTGTGTTCGTTAGTGGAGCCCAGTAACCTCCTCCAAGCTCATGCAGTTTTTAGCAGAATTTCTTGCAGGTCTAGGACTGAAGGTCCTACTTTCTTGCTGTCAGCTGGGGGGCAAATCTCAGTTCCTGGAGGCTCCTGCAGCTCCTGGCCGTGGGCCTTCTCAGCAGGCATTTCACAACAGGGCAGCTTTCTTCCTCAAGGCCAGCGGGAGAACTCTCTTGTTCCTGTCTGCTGGTAAGGAGTGTAACGTAATGTCATGTAACTGTAATCATGTGAGTGACACATCATCACCTTTGCCAAATTCTATTGCCTAGAAGCAAGTCTCAAGTCTTGCCCAAACTCAAGGGGAGGGGATTACACATGACTCGCCACACTCTCAACCATCCAACAGATCAAACGCCTAAGAGAATAAAAGGAAAACTACAACTCCCAGCAGGCGTTGCTCCCGAGCTGCGTCACACAGCCTCAGCTCCCGCGGGCCCAGCACCCCCCAGGCCCCCACGGTCCATAAACTACATCTCCCAGGAGGCGCCACAGCGCACAACCGCCCGTTTTCCTCCCCGCCCCCTGCCTTCCCTTTCCCCCCGCCGGCAGCTCTTGGGCCCACTGGGGTCCCGCGGT